CTCCGAGGGGGCCAAAGTTTCGCCCCCTATAGTCAGCGATGGACTCAGCTGACTATGCCGAGACGCCGGTAACCACAGCCACTCGGTCTTGGACGGGTTGAGCCTGAGTCTGTTCCTCCCCATCCAGACTCTCACGGCCTCCAGACACCGGGTCATCACGTCAAGGGCATCGTTGGGGTCGCCCGGGGTGGATATGTACTTTGCTTGTCAGAAGGTCGCAAAAGGGGGGGGGTCACACGAACCCGAGATGCTGCGACCGTCATAAATATAAGTCAGTTGCCAAGTGTCCGAATTTGGATCGCATAATCATGGAGATGCTGCAACGGTTGTGTGAAAAACGGTCACAGGTCGTTTTTTTTCAGTGCGGCTGTCACTTTGAATGGCCACTAAAAGAACTGTTGTAAGTTGAGGAGTGCCTATTTCTGCATGTACAGAGTCAGTTGGGTGTAGTGGTTAACGCAGCACACTAGAAACTGGGAGATGGTGAGTTCTAGTCCTGCCAGAGGCAGGAAGCCAGCTGGGTGACCGTGGCCCCTCGCTCCGTCAGAGTCTTCAGAAGAGGCAATGGGAGCCCCTTCTGAAAAAGCTTCCCACTCAGCCTCACCCAAAGCGGTGGACACTCATTAATTTGGGGTGGGGGTCTGACGTCCTGCTTTCCTGTCTTTTAGGAAGAGACCCCCTTGTTCTTGGCAGCCAAAGAAGGGAGCTACGAGACGGCCAAAGTCCTCCTGGACAGCTTTGCCAACCGGGACATCACGGATCACATGGACCGCCTGCCCCGTGACGTGGCCCAGGAGCGCATGCACCACGACATCGTGCGCCTTCTGGACGAGTACAACCTGGTGCGGAGCCCGCCCCTGCACAACGGGCCTCTGGCCACCCTCTCCCCGCCCCTCTGCTCGCCCAGCGGCTACCTGGGCCACCTGAAGCCAGGCCTGCAGAGCAAGAAGGCCCGCAAGCCAAGCACAAAAGGGCTGAGCTGCAACGGGAAGGAGCCGAAGGGGCTCAAGGCCCCCCGGAAGAAGTCGCAGGAGGGCAAGGGGTGCCTGCTGGATGGCTCCGGCATCCTCTCCCCGGTCGACTCACTGGAGTCACCGCACGGCTACCTCTCGGACGTGGCCTCCCCGCCTCTGATGACCTCCCCCTTCCAGGCCTCTCCTTCCGTGCCCCTCAACCACCTGCCCGGCATGGCAGACCCCCACCTCAGCATCAGCCAACTCAACTTGGTGGGCAAGCCGGATCTGGGCCTGGGGGCCGGACAGATGCAGCCCTTCGAGTCGGGGGCCCCCCGCCTGTCCCACCTGCCCGTCTCCAGCGCCAGCGCCATCCTGGGCGGGGCCTCGCTCAACTTCGCCCTCAGCGGGAGTCAGTGCGAGTGGCTGAACCGCCTGCAGAGCAGCCTGGTGCCCGGCCAGTACCACCCCTTGAGGAGCGCTCTTCCGCAGGGCACGCACCCTGCCAGCCAGGGCCTGCCCCACGGGCTGCTGGCGCCCCTGCACGGCGGCCCCCCTCTGCCTCCCATGATGACCTACCAGACCGTCCCCGGTGGCCACCTGCCCACCCACTCCCAGCCACACCTGCTGCAACCCCAGCAGCCGCAGCAGCAGCCGCCCCCACCGCAAGCCCACAGTGGGGCCACGAACACTGCCCCCCAAGTGGGGGCCAGCTTCCTCGGGAGCGAGCTGGGCCAGGTGGAGCTGCAGCAGCCCATGAGTGGCGGCGCCCTGGCTGTCCACGCCATCCTGCCCCAGGACACCCAGGTGCTGGCCACCTCCCTGCCCCAGGCCCTGAGCACCACCCAGTTCCTGACTCCGCCTTCCCAGCACAGCTACCCCTCCCCCATGGACCACACGCCCAGCCACCAGCTCCAGGTGCCCGACCACCCCTTCCTCACGCCTTCGCCGGAGTCACCGGACCAGTGGTCAAGCTCCTCCCCCCATTCCAACGTCTCGGATTGGTCGGAAGGGATCTCGAGCCCGCCCACCAGCGTCCAGCCCCAGGTGGGGCGCATCCCGGAAGCTTTCAAGTAAGGGGGGGCACCTGAGCAGCATCCCGGCAGCTGCCCTGTGAGGCGGGCGGACCCCGTGGCTGAACTGGAGAAATCTTTTTCTTCCTGTCTTTTTTTTTTTCTAAAAAAAAAAAAAATATTTTTGCATACATTGTAAGTGGAAATGTTGCTGCGTTCTTCCCTCTTTTTTTAGTATTTATTGATGTATTTTTTCTTTTATGTGAAAACACTGCCGTTTTATTTATATGTTCTGTTTAAGAATTCCATGGGCTGCATTCGCTATTCCAAGAAACAGAAAAATCTATTAATGGGGACGTTTTTTAATTGACTATTTTTTTTTTTAAAAAAAAGAAATGTTTTGTCTAAAGAAACATTCTTCTGTAAAGCTGTAAGATCCGTGATAGTAAAATGACACATATTTATTGATCAGGATATTTTTTCCTGATCATTTTAAAAACAGAATAAAAAGGGGAGGGGCAATTTTGTTTTTTGTTTTTTAAAAAAAAATGTACCTATGCGAGGAAAAAATAATTTAAATATAAGTTGATGGTTTATTTTTAAAGAGCGCTTTAAAATATTCCCTTGGTGTTGATGCTATAGATATATAGATATATCACTTTTCTACATCAGCTTCTAGGTGTGTTAGATTCCCTCCCAACATTCCTAGCTAGCGTGGCGGCTGGGAATTTGGGGGAAGTGATCCAGCGCACACTTGGGCAGTCCAAGGATATGGGAGGCTGATGTCGGACAGGGTCCGTCAACCTTTGCAACTTTTAAGGTGCATCAACCAATTGCAGCTGAATTCCGCGCATCTGGAAGCCTGTTGGCTGGGGAACTCTGGAGAGGTGGAAGTCCAAGGCAGAAAACCACTGATACAGGGATCACGAATCTTTGTATGAAAGTTTCAGTATTACATAGTTTTATCCATCGTTTTGCGTGAAAGCTGAACGCGTTCTATTTATTTATTTTAAATACTGCCTATGATCAAAAAACCAGGATCAGGGGTATGAAGCTGCAAATGAGTTCCAGATGCTTCTCCTCTCCCTCCTCCCCCACCCAGATGTGCCCTACTTGTTGCCAACGTAAAAGGAACGGAATACCTCCAGTGGGTCAAGCATAGAGTAAGAAAGTAATGCCCTGTGTGTGTTTTTTTTAACAAGGCGGCTGTGATCCTAACTGAGTCTTGGGCATTGTACCTAAGGCAAAGTTAAGAAGAAGAGAGGTTGGGATAACTATGAAGAAGGGTTGAAGGTCTCTTGGTGGACCCAGCAGGAAGAGGGAGATTAGTAATCTCCGTAGGTCCCCCGAGTAGGAGCAAACGATGTTAGGCATGTGTTGCCTAGAACCCATCAAGAGATGGAGATGGCAGCCATTCACTTCCTTGGGAAGGCGGGATTGGAATCCTGCTCCCACTCTTTCCTGGCCTTTCCGGTGCCGGCATCTTACCCGGCAATGGGTAAGGGTAGTAGACCCATAGGTTAGGAGGACCCCCAGGTTGGGAAGACTAATGGAGGTTGGGAGTGAGAAATAATGGAGGGCTTTCCACGGGTTTAAAGCCTGTGGAGATCCTCAGTCATCCAGGTCATGGTTGTCCATGTCCCAAAGGTGCTTTTTCGAAATGCAACTGGACTTTGTTTTTACTTGAAAACATTGTGCTTTTCATCCAAGAAGCTTCTTCAGTCCAGGAACATTAGTATGAATGGATGGGTCGGAACTGAAGAAGCTTCTTGGATGAGAAGTGAAACTTATTCAGGGAAAAAACGAAGTCCACTTGCCTTTTGAAAAAAAGCACCTTTGGGACATGGGTTTAAAGGGCGTCCCCTTCTAGAGACGGGCTCTCTACAGCAGTGTTTCTCAACCTTGACAATTTTAAGGCATGTGGACTTCAACTCCCAGAATTCCACAGCCAGCCTTTCTGCCCGTCTCCTGGCCTCCAAAGCGCACCTGAGCATTCATGAGCCAGGTCAGTGTCTTGAGGCAGCAACATCCAGAAGCTTTAGGCCAGGGGTAGGCAACCTCGGCTCTTTTATGACTCGTGGACTTCAACTCCCAGAATTCCTGAGCCAGCCACGCTGAGGGGAAAGGAAGAGGTTTCCAAGCTGACTGGCTCAGGAATTCTGGGAGTTGAAGTCCACCAGTCATAAAAGAGCCAAGGTTGCCTACCCCTGCTTTAGGCCGTGTGGATTAAAGACTCTCTTTAATCTGTGTTGCATCCTTCAACACAGCTGGAGGTGGCTGGAGAAGATTGGGCACCGCTTCAAAATTGGGGTTTCCAGAGGGAAAGACGGGGAGTCCTTAGCAGCTGGAAGGAGCCAGTGTGGGAACCACAGGGATGTGGCTTAGCAAAATTTCACCACAAATTGACCACTGCTTGATAGCATCGGCTTCTACCCAGTCTCTGTCCACTTTGAGAAAGTTGGTTGCTGGGATCCTCCTCATTCTCATGACAGAATTGCCATCCAGAAAGCCGGGAACTCCGTTTGTGTCCTTCGCCCAGAAAGAGCCTCCTGCTTTTTAAGAATGGGCAGCTTGTGTTTGCGATGGTTTTATTCTCTTTTAGAGAGAAAGGGAGATTGGGGGGGGGCGCCAGCAAGGCCGGCCCAGCAGCTGAACTTGTACACAAATAAAATATATATATATATACAGTATGCGCCTATGGCAAAGCTAATGTTTTGTAAATATGGAGTCAGTTGTTGTTGTTGTTTTTTACATAAAATGATATGGGTGGATTTTGTTTAAAAAATCTGAACGATTTAAACTGAAAGAAAGCATTGCACCAGTGAGGGGTGTTGAAAATATTGCTCAAAAAGGAAGACTAAAACAGATTTAGCTGGTAAGATTGCAAACCTGTGCTTGTGTCCTTTGGAGTAAATGCTACAAGCAGTCCTTGGTTTAGTTATTAGTTTATTAGCCATTGGAAATTACATTGAAAAAAAAGTGATTTATAGCCTCACGCTTACCGAAAATCTCAGCGTGAGCAAAATTCAGGCACTTTGCAGATGGTTGCAGGGTCCTGGAGTCAGGAAGTCGCCCTCTGCACCTTCACAGGAGCTTCCAACAAGCAACGTCAATGGGGGGAGATGGGTTTGCTTAATGACCACAGTGATTCATTTAATGACGGTGACAAAAAAAGGTGGTAAAGTTAGATATAACTCAGTGAGCACATTGCTCAGCAATGGAAGGCTCCGGTCCCATAAGTCAAGGACTACTTTTAAAGGAACATCCTCTGAGATGCCCAGGTAGGACTGATCTGTAGCTGCGTTGGCAGTGCGCTTTTGGGCAAGATGGTACATATTTTCATGAACTGTAATCCTGGGGAAGACTTTCTTCACCCTTTGGATGTTGAACACACAGTGGTGCCCTCTCTTGGGGAATCTGATCCTCTCCCAAGCTTCCCTTTTTTTTTTTTTTAATTTGCTTGGAGGACCTCCGGAGGAGATAGGAAAGTGCTGGCACGTCTCTACGACGAGTGATTTTTAACACCCCTCTTGGTGTCAGATCTTTTTTATGTTTTATAAATTAGACTGTAGTTTATAAGTCAGAGATGTGGGAGATTAAAACAAGCAAACCTGTAATAAAAAAAACCATGCAAAATTGTAGTTTGCAAAAATGACGCCTTTTATTTTATTTTGTTAAATGATTTGCAATAAACTATGCCAGTGGGCATTTTAGAATGTTGTGGTCTTGCATTTCTTTCAGATTAAGTAATTTAATGCAGGGAAGGAAATGTGTGGGGTTTTTTCCAACACTGGAGGGGGGGGTCACAAAATCCTCAAAAGCGTTCTTGCATTCTTATTTCAGTGAGATAAACATTAATTCTTTGTGTTGATTGTGAGAGATATACCTCAGAGCTCATTAAGGCAATACCTTTAATCGGGTTGACAAAAGATCTACCAAGGTACTGTACCTTTTCTAGTTTCCAGAAAACTCAATCATGGAGATTAGTTGGGGGAAGAAAGAAACAGTTGGGAAAATAAAACTGATCTTGAAGTCATCTGGGTGCATCACACCAACTTATCTGTAAAACGGAGTGGTGAGGTACTTCAGACCTGCAAACTGGAACTTATCTGGCCCAAGTATGTCAGGCCATGATATGAGCAAATACAAATCTTGCTGGGAAAAATCACAAGTAAATGTAATCCTACCTTTTTTGGAAAAATTCCCAGCTATTAAAAATCAGTGATTTTCATCCAATGGACAATTGGATCTTTTGACCCTGGAAAACAAAAGCGAAATCAATTCCCATGTTTACACTAATAAAAATCAGTTCCTGGTAATTTTACAGATAACAGCCATGTCATATATTTTTTTACAACAATACAAAATAGTGCGCCATAGCCGCCTTTATTAATTTTCCAGTCCGGCCGAATATTCTGAGATTTGCAAAGCTATAGGTAGTAAATGCTAAGATCTGATCTGATGTGATAGTAAATGTCTGTCAAGGCCAAGTTCAATAAGGTGACCAAGGAGGGGGAGAAGTCAGACCCACGAAGTGTTGCAACATTGAGTACTCAAGCCTAAAGTAAGAAACTTCAAAGCAAAAACAAAATTAAACAGATTTCTTCTAAAGCAGGGATTTCCAATCAGACTCATCAAGAAGTGAAGATTTGGCAGATTTTCAGTTGCATTTTTAAAAACTAGACCTTGGTGTGCCATATCCGTTATCGAACGTTGGCGATCATGTTGGCGATCCTGTTTTTATCAGCAGCCCCACGAAAAAGTGCTGCTGAGTTTTGTCCAAACCAGTCCCTTAGATTTTGAAGATGTTCTTCTTCTGCCTGGACCTCGTTTGCCTTTCATCTTTCCCTGGAGGATTAAATGGAGTATGCCATATTTTTCTGGGTGTCGCATCACAGGTCCGAAATATTCTAATTTTCGTTTTTCAATTGTTTTGATGATTTCCCTTGGCTTTCCCAGGCGGCTGATCACCTCATTTCTGATCTTGTCAACCCAGCTTCTACGTAACAGCCGCCTGTAAATCCACATTTCAAATGCTTCTAGTCTCTTCAGGTGGCCTTCTGT